AATGTGGATTTGACCTGTAAGAGCAGCAAGGAAAAACCTATTTGGTCAAACCTGTGACTCTTTACAGGAAAAAGACAAAGACATTTTACACATGACGACAAAATGGTTGTGGTGGTTTTATTGTGAAGTAATTTGGTCTTTTCTCACGTTTGATTTGCTGCTGTCTTTAACAACCTCGTTATTTCAGGAGGATCATTGTTGTTTTGTTGTCAAGTGTAAAACCACTTTGTGATTGAGTGTTTTCATTATCAGACATGAGCAGATCCACTGATCTCTCGCTCACACTTAGTTTTAAGGCTGCCTCCACTCAACTAGCTGTAACGTGCTGTGGGACACCCCGACAGAGACACACTCACCTGGACAGGTCCATCATATACAGTCAGACCAGACAACATGCAGATGTGAACCACTTCAGGCAATGATGTGACACTTCTGGTCTCCTTCTTGTGGCCCAAACAAAATGGATGTGATTCTAAAGTTGCCCACTTGTAAAATAATATCACAAAACTAATTCAGGGTTGACTTGTGACCCAGATCTGGCAAAAAGGAGCAGACCACCCAAGTGCCATCATTCCCTGCCGCATGTGGGCCCGATGTGGGATGTGACGGATGAGGGATGTAGGTCAAATCTGGACCAAAACAGTTTTCCTGTGTAGGATTGTTCAAACAGCTGAAAACCACAAGTCATGACCATGAATGATCCTGTGGTTGTGGACCTCTGCTCTTCTTTCAACACAAACACATCCTCATGACCAGAGCTTTACTTTCACTTTCATTAATTACCTCAGTTGGTGAGTTTCACCCGGATTTAAGTGACTAAAGGCTGATCCTGAATTCTCATTGGCTCAGATGATGTCACCTCCTCTCTGTGTGTCCTCTCGTCTCGTTGTTTTTTGTCTCTGCAGCCACAGTCCGTCTCTCTGTGGACAAAAGACCTCATCTACCTTCAGTCCAGCAAAGAGAAATATACCACCGCTCACAATGCACACTTTACTTTTCCTGCTTCTACTGGCAGGAACACACAGCGCGACGGCAAGTGAGTTCTAGATTCTACTTGATTATTTCACACTTGGTTCTTCATGACGTGTCTCATGTTTCATGTTGGTTTATAAAAAGTTGTGAAGAAATAACAGGTTCAGTCTGTTGATRTGAATCAAGACTGTTATTGATGTAAATACATATATTTGAACATCTTTTTAATGGTTGATGATTCATTTCCCATCGCCTCAAACACCTCAATTATTCATCTAAACTGGGGCAGCTGACAAATAAGGCGACGACTCAGTTTTGGTTTTTATTGGAGTCAGTTGGTGGCAATGTTTCCACAGATACAGAAAGTGCTGAGGACAAACAGCTTCCTGCTTTGTTGGTTCAATATTCCGCATCATTTAGGCTGAGAAAGACCGTGAGTAACATGACTGACATGCAAGAGGTCCTGGCTGCAGACCTCCACTGTCAGGAGAGTAACGGCCGTTAAAGCAGACTTTATTGGGGATACTCTCCAACCTCCCAGACATAGTGACAAAATAACAGGCTATGAAAATATCGATCGAGGCTATGAAAAATAATCAAGAAAAATAAACAGGAAGAAAACCTTCTAATAATCAAAACCCACTCCGAGGATTGAAAAACCCAGAAAATAAAGAGAAATGAACCAACAGAAAATCACTCCACTAGGAGGAAAACAAAAGGCTAAGAACTCAAAACTCAAAACACTCCCAAAGGAGGAGAACCAAACTTTTTTTCCTAAAAATCGGAGGCTCTACTACTCTCTATGAAACATTTAACTAGAACAAAAAATTCAATTGTCTATTTGTAGCCTATTTGTAGTCTACTATAAAGCTGAGGATCTTGAAAAGAGGTCAAATAGTTGATCAATGAAAACATTGGAGGGCAGGAATAACACTGGTCAGTGCACACATCTCCTCTTAAGCTATTACTCATATTCACAAGCCATAAGATGTCATAAACCCAGCTCATATGTTGTGTTCAAAATGTTCATGATTTCACAATTTGAATTTTGTATATGATGATGAAGACTTTCAGAATAAATGTCTCATGTAGTAACTGGAGATTGAAGTAGTTTTCACTTCACATGAAATAATCTGCAGTAGAAAATATTATTTTCTAATATTAAATATTTGAGTCGTTAGATTGAATCCATGTAGAATTCAAAGTAAAGAGTGTCTGGACTCTGGAGCAGACGTTTTATCTATCAATGTATTTYTGTGTTTGTTTACCACACAACAGAGATTCTGAAGTTGTCTTGAATGTACTTCATGTCTTCTTSACTCTGAGTGCAGTGATTTATTAAACATTCTGAAACTAAAGTCAGGACTTTAACTTTTTCTTGCAGGGACTCACTCTCTGAAGAATTTCTACACTGGGTCCTCTCAAGTCCCAAACTTTCCAGAGTTTGTGTCTGTTAGTCTGGTTGATGAAGTTCAGATGATTCACTATGACAGCAACACAAAGAAAGTAGAACCCAAACAGGACTGGATGTTGAAGGCAACAGATTCACAGTACTGGGAGAGGGAGACTCGGAACATTTGGCATTACCAGCAGTGGCTCAAAGACAACATTGAAAACTTAAAGGAACGCTTCAACCAGA